TGTGTGTGTGTGTGTGTGTGTGTGTAATTGACTGTGTGGCATTCTTCTATGATTTTCAAGAAATATAAAATTAAATTTAGAAAAATTTGGAAGGCCAAATACAAGCAGTCTGGTGTTTGCTCTGTGTCCAATACTGTCACAGTGATTTCTAGCATAAAAACACGAGGTTCCTGGGTCTCAAGTATCTTCAATAATTGCCAGTATGATTTATGATTATGTCCTTGATTCTTGGAAGGACACCTTTTCCAATATTTGTGAGTTAGCTGTAAAAAGTTCATTTTGCCATTTCCTGAAGGTATTGAGTTCATTGCTCGCTCCAGCACCAGGACCACACTGTCTTAGAGTCCTTTCCATCTGACGGAGCAAGTGTCCCTGCCTATATTCTCTTCAACAGTTTCCTGACTCATTTTCATATTCATGTTTAAATAAAATTTAGAATAATTTTTGTTTTCCCCAAATCCGGTTATGATTTTGATTTCAAATAAGTAAATCTGAGATATATTCAGGAGCACATATGCTTTTGCAAGATTTTATCTTTCTATCTAAAAATTATTAAGTCTATCCATTTATGATTCCACGGAGCGATGGAGAACTGGAAGGTCCTGCCCAATTCCTGTTAACATCTTAATGCTTTAGGTTATCTTGTTGATGTTTCATATTGTATTTTCACCTGATGAACAGGCAATGTTTATTCAGTGACACCACATGCCAACTCTTAGTGTTAAGCCTTTTATTACTTAATTTTATCCTGGACTCATGTTCGCATGAAAACAGCAAGTCTTCCAGAGCTCAGGCACTCGCCTGAGGGTTCAGCTTGGCAGAGCTCAGACATGCATCCCCGCATCTTACCCGTCGCATCACGTGGCCTGCTGGGCACAGCATTACTTTTCAGGAATACATTGCTCTTCACTGTAAATGGCCACTTTACTGAAGTTGCTTTTTATTTCTAATGGCATTGCAGTTGACTGTCCTTGGTTTCCCAGATAGATCATCTTATCAGCAAATAACAGTCATTGTTCCTTCTTCTTTTCAACATTTTTACTTCCTCTTCTCTGTCCAATTGACAATAGCCATTCGTTATAATGCATACAGTTTTTTTTTAAATTAATTTTTATTTATTTTTTTGTTACAGATATTTTACCTTTTTACCCCATTGGCACCCCCCACCCCACCCCACCTCCACCCCGTCCCCGGCTTAGTTGTCCATGTCCATTGGTCATGCATACATGCATATAAGTTCTGTGGTTTATCTCTTCCCACCCCCACCCCCCCACCCCCTCTTCTGAGGGATGTCAGTCTGTGCCCTACTTCCATGTGTCTGGGTCTACTGTATTCCTCAGACTGTTACGTTCATTATATTCCGTATATAAGTGAGATCATGTGGTATTTGTCTTTTTCTGCTTGGCTTCTTTCACTTAGGATAATACTTTCCAGGCCCCTCCATGTCGTCTCAAAGGATAAGAGATCTTTTTTTTCTTACCGCTGCATAGTACTCCATTGTGTATATGTACCACAGCGTTTTTATCCATTCGTCTACTGGTGGACACTTGGGCTGTTTCCAGATCTTAGCTATTGTAAATAGTGCTGCTATGAACATGGGGGTACATATATTCTTCCTGATTGGTGTTTCAGGCTTCTTAGGGTATATTCCCAGCAGTGGGATCACTGGGTCAAATGGAAGTTCAAGTTTTAATTTTTTGAGGTAGCACCATATTGTTTTCCGTAGCGGCTGCACCAGTCTGCATTCCCACCAGCAGTGTATTAGAGTCCCCTTTTCTCCACACCCTCGCCAACACTTGTTGTTTGATGATTTGTTGATGGCGGCCATTCTGACAGATGTGAGGTGATACCTCATTGTTGTTTTAATTTGCATCTCTCTGATGATTAGTGATGTTGAGCATTTCTTCATATGTCTTTTGGCCATTTGTATGTCCTGTTTGGAGAGGTGTCTATTCAGCTCCTCTGCCCATTTTTTAATTGGGTTCTTTGTCTTCCTTTTGTGGAGTTGTATGAGCACTCTATATATATTGGAAATTAACCCCTTATCTGATACATCACTGGCAATGATGTTCTCCCATACAGTGGGTTGCCTTTCCATTTTGATGATTGTTTCTTTTGCTGTGCAGAAGCTTTTGAGTTTGATGTAGTCCCATGTGTCATTTTCTCCTTTATTTCTGTTGCCTTAGGTGATGTATCAGTGAAAATTCTGCTCCGTATGATGTCCTGAAATTTTGTTGCCTACATTTTCTTCTAGAATTTTTATGGATTCACGGGTCACATTTAAGTCTTTTAGCCATTTCGAGTTTATTTTTGTGTGTGGTGTAAGTTGATGGTCTAGTTTCATTTTTTTTGCATGTAGCTGTCCAATTTTCCCAACACCACTTATTAAAGAGGCTGTCTTTACTCCACTGTATGCTCTTGCCACCTTTGTCAAATATTAATTGAGCGTATTGCCTTGGGTCCATTTCTGGGTTTTCAGTTCTGTTCCACTGGTCTATATGCCTGTTCTTGTGCCAGTACCAGGCTGTTTTGGTTACAGTCGCTTGGTAGTATAACCTGATATCTGGTATTGTGATCCCACCTACTTTGTTCTTTTTTTTCAAGATTGCTGTGGCTATTCGGGGTCTTTTGTGGTTCCATATGAACTTTTGAAGTATTTGTTCTAGTTCTATGAAATATGTCGTTGGTATTTTGATGGGGATTGCATTGAATCTATAGATTGCTTTGGGTAGTATGGACATTTTAATTATGTTAATTCTTCCAATCCATGAACAGGGTATGTTCTTCCACTTTTTTATATCTTCCTCTATTTCTTTTTTCAATGACCTGTAGTTTTCTGCAAATAGGTCCTTTACTTCTTTGGTTAAGTTTATTCCTAGGTATCATAATTTTTTTGGCGCGATGGTAAATGGGATTGTTTTTTCAGTTTCTCTTTCTGTGAGTTCATCATTGATGTACAAGAATGCTGTCGATTTCTTGACGTTAATTTTGTATCCTGCTACTTTGCCAAATTCATTTATTAAGTCTAATAGATTTTTGATGGCGTCTTTAGGGTTTTCTATGTACAATATCATGTCATCTGCAAATAATGACAGTTTCACTTCCTCCTTTCCAATTTGGATCCCTTTTATTTTTTCTTCATGTCTGATTGCTGTGGCTAAGACTTCCAGTACAATGGTAAATAAGAGTGGCGAAAGTGGACATCCCTGTCTTGTCCCTGTTCTTAATGGAAATGTTTTTAGTTTCTGTCCATTGAGTATGATGTTGGCTGTAGGTCTTTCATATATGGCCTTTATTATGTCAAGATATGATCCCTCTATTCCTACATTGCTGAGCGTTTTTATCACAAATGGATGCTGGATTTTGTCGAATGCTTTTTCAGCATCTATTGATATGATCATGTGGCTTTTATTCTTTATTTTGTTTATGTGGTGTATCACGTTTATTGATTTGCGAATATTGTACCAGCCTTGCATCCCTGGAATGAATCCCACTTGGTCATGGTGAATAATTTTTTTGATGTATTTCTGGATCCGATTTGCTAATATTTTGTTCAGGATTTTGGCGTCTATGTTCATCAGGGATATTGGCCTGTAGTTTTCTTTCTTCGTAGTGTCTTTTTCTGGTTTTGGAATTAGAATTATGCTGGCCTCATAGAATGTGTTTGGAAGTCTTCCTTCTTCTTGAATTTTTTGAAATAGTTTGAGGAGAATGGGTGTTAGTTCTTTTTTTGAATGTTTGGTAAAACTCCCCTGTGAAGCCATCTGGGCCTGGGCTTTTGTTTGCTGGGAGAGTCTTGATTACCTCTTCAATTTCCTTAGTTGTTATTGGTCTGTTCAAGTTTTCTATCTCTTCCGGGAATAGTTTTGGGAGACTGTGTGTTTCTAGAAATTTGTCCATTTCGCTTAGATTGTCGAATTTGTTGCCATATAGTTGTTCATAGTAGTTGTTAATGATATTTTGTATTTCCGTGATGTTGGTTGTTACTTCTCCTCTTTCATTTCTGATTTTGTGTATTTGGGTTCTCTCTCTTTGTTTCTTGGTGAGTCTAGCTAAGGGTCCATCAATCTTGTTTATCTTTTCGAAAAACCAGCTGTTTCATTGATCCTTTGAATTGTTTTTTTGGTCTCTATGTCATTTATTTCTGCTCTGATCTTTACTATTTCCTTCCTTCTACTTGCTCTGGGGTTTTCTTTTTGTTTGCTTTCTAATCCTTTAAGTTGTGAGGTTAGACAGTCAATTAGAAATTTTTCTTGTTTTTTGAGGTAGGCCTGTAGTGCTATGAACTTCCCTCTCAGAACTGCTTTCGCTGCATCCCATAGATTTTGTGTTGTTGTGTGTTCATTTTCATTGGTTTCCAGGAAGTTTTTGATTTCTTCCTTGATCTCCTCGGTGACCCATTCATTGTTTAATAACAAATGCATACAGTCTTAAGTATCATTTAAAAATCTATTCAATATTGCCCGGCCTGTGTGGCTCAGTGGTTGAGCATCGACACATGCACCAAAAGGTTGCCAGTTTGATGCCTGGTCAGGGCACATGCCCAGGTTGTGGGCCTGATCCCCAGTGGGGGACATGCAGGAGGTGGCCAATCCATGTTCTTCCTTATCAGTGTTTCTATCTCTGTCTCCCTTCCTCCCTTTCTAAAAATCAATCAAAAATAAATACAAATCTATTCAATATCATAAGCTAGTAATCTTTAAGCAGCTGAGGCATACTATAAGATGGTAGGGTTTGAAATAAGATAAGACATTAGTCCTGTATATGGAGTATGTCAAATTAAAAAATTAAAAGTAGCTGGATTGACTAAGTTACAAAAAAACTTTCCATGTTATGTGTTTATGACTGTTTTTATCTTGTTGCTAATTTAAAAATGTTACAAAATTTAGTCTAAGTTATGTTAAGCTAAGAGTAAAGTTGATCTCACATCTCTGAACGTCCCTGTCAATTTGAGGTGCTGAGTAAACAAACGTGTTGGTCCAAGGCTGCAGACAGCTGGGGAGATGGATGGAGGCAACCAGAGCAGAGTCTCCGAGTTCCTGCTTCTGGGGATCTCAGAGAGTCCTGAAGACCAGCGGGTCTTGTTTTGGACGTTCCTGTCCATGTACCTGGTCACGGTGGTGGGAAATGCACTCATTATCCTGGCCATAGGCACCGATTCCCACCTGCACACACCCATGTACTTCTTTCTGGCCAATCTCTCCTTCACCGACTTACTGTTTGTCACAAACACAATCCCCAAGATGCTGGTCAACCTTCAGTCCGAGAACAAAGCCATCTCCTATGCAGGATGTCTGACACAGCTCTACTTCCTGGTCTCCTTGGTGGCCCTGGACAACCTCATCCTGGCCACGATGGCCTATGACCGCTATGTGGCCATCTGCCACCCCCTCCACTATACCACGGCCATGAGCCCTGGGCTCTGTATGTTGCTCCTCACCTTATGTTGGGCACTTTCTATCCTCTATGGCCTCATCCACACCCTCCTCATGACCAGGGTGACCTTCTGTGGGTCCCCGAAGATCCACTACATCTTCTGTGAGATGTACGTCCTGCTGAGGCTCGCGTGTTCCAACACTCAGACCAATCACACAGTGCTGATCGCCACAGGCTGCTTCATCTTCTTCACCCCCTTAGGGCTCATGATCATGTCCTATGTCCGGATCGTCAGAGCCGTCCTCCACATACCCTCAGCCCCTGGCAAGTATAAAGCCTTCTCCACCTGTGCCTCCCATTTGGCTGTGGTCTCCCTCTTCTATGGAACACTTAGCGTGGTGTATCTGCAGCCTCTGCACACCTACTCCAAGAAGGACTCAGTGGCCACAGTGATGTATGCAGTGGTCACCCCCATGATGAACCCTTTCATCTACAGCCTGAGGAACAAGGACATGCATGGGGCTCTGGGAAAACTCTTCCTAGGGAAGGCCTTCCAGAGGTTCACATGAGGGTAATTGGGGGCATTGAAATGGAGAATGGGCAATTATTCCACCATGTGACAAGCATTATCCTGTGGGGAATACAGGAGTAAATAGGCCATAGCTCCTGCTCAGAGTGAGCTCATAGATCTGTGATGAAGAAAAAATGTGTAACCCAGTATTTCAGACCTCACCAGCCTTGGCAATAAATAAGGTCATGCTAACACTAATACTAGAAGTTTACAGGCTCAAATCCTCCACTTGACCATAGGACTATAGTGTCACCACCTCAGCCTTTCAAAATATACCCAGTTATGAGCTGGGAGGGGTCTCGTGTTCTCTAGCACATACCCACTCACGCTCCTGAGCTCTGGCCTTCTCTAAGGAGCACAATGCCTGTGAGTCATTTGGAGGAGACACCGTGCACCACCCGCACTGCAAGTGTTCTAACTGAGGCTGCCCAGCTCCTGACGCTCTGCTGGGCACAGACCCAGTGTTTCTATCTGACCCACAGT